CTCTTCAGGTGCATGAGGGGGCTTACCAGGTCGTGGAAGGCACCTTTTTCTGCCAGAAACCGACCTGCTAACTCCTCCTCCCTCACCACTCTCGACGGTGGTGCAGCTAGGGGGTATACTGGGGTCCCCCTGGTGGAGCGGTCAGTTGCGATGCAGTTGTGTCCTGACACCGCCTCCACCTGGCAGGGCAAACCGTGCCTCCCCTCCCGGGTCGGTAGGTACTCGTCTGGTCTGTCTGGCGATTCTTATGTGGCCTGCGGTGAAGCTGCCTCCGCCTTACACGTTACAGCGTTACTGCAGGTTCTTCAGGCTAAAGCACTGAGGGACCTGCACGAGAGTGGTCACGATCCGGAAGTTCTGAAAGAGCTCCGAACCGCAACTGACCTCACGCTCCGAGCGACAAAGGTCACTGCGAGTTCTCTGGGTCATGCAATGTCCACACTTGTGGTCCAGGAGCGCCATCTCTGGCTGTGTCTGGCCGAAATGAGGGACGCCGACAAGTTCTGTTCCTCAAGGTCCCTGTGTCCCAGACCGGCCTCTTCGGCGACGCAGTCAAGAACGTGGCCCAGCAGTTCTCGGCTGCACAGGAGCAGACTGAGGTGATCTGACATGTCCTGCCCTGGCGGGCAACTGCTGCCTCCCCCCGTCCGCTGGCCACAGCGCCCCAGCCTGCTCATCGCCAAGGGCGGCCCCCGCGTCCACCCCCGCTCCCGTGCTGCATCCGCAGCAGCCTCGAGCAAGTGGCGCCGTGGAGCTGGGCGTAGGAGTTCGCAGTCCTACTGGCGAAGGACGCAATAGAGCCAGTCCCTCCAGCCGATATGAAGATGGGGTTTTACAGCCCCTACTTCATTGTACCCAAGAGAGGCGTGGGTTACGACCAATCTTGGACCTGCGTGTCTTGAACTGGGCCTTTCACCGGTTACTGTTCAAGATGTTGACGCAGAAACGCATCTTCGGGTGCATCCGTCCCCGAAATTGGTTTGCAGCGATCGACCTGAAGGACGCGTACTTTCATGTATCGATCCATCCGCACCACAGACCATTGCTGCGGTTCGTGTTCGAAGGACGAGCATATCAGTACAAGGTCCTGCCCTTCGGGCTATCCCTGTCGCCCCGTGTCTTCACGAAAGTTGCAGAGGCAGCCCTTGTTCCCCTGAGAGAGCAGTGCGTTCACATTCTCAACTACCTCGATGACTGGCTCATACTAGCTCAGTCTCAGGATCAGTTGTGCGAACACAGGGACTTGGTGCTCTCGCACCTCAGCCGGTTGGGCCTTCGGGTCACCTGGGAAAAGAGCAAACTCTCCTCGATGCAGAGGATCTCTTTTCTCTGTATGGAGTTGGATTCGGTCGAACAGACAGCACGCCTCACGCAGGAACGTACTCAGTCGGTGTTGAACTGCCTGAATACGTTCAAGATCAGGATGGCGGTCCCACTGAAACAGTTTCAGAGGCTTCTGGGGAATATGGCAGCTGCATGGGCAGCCAGTGTTGGGGGCAGTGTCGGGGGTTTGGGGTCACGTCAACTGCCTAGAGTTGTTAGCAGTGGTGTATAAAGTACCTGAAAGCCATATTCAAGTAAAGGTACAGATATCTTACTAGAAAATTACTTTGGTACAAGTTGAAGTCACCAATTAGAATATTACTTGAGTAAAAGTCTTAAAGTATGTGATATTTATTGTACTTAAGTACGAAAAGTATTTTTTAAATCTTAAACGTACTTAAGTATTGAAAGTAAAAGTACAAGTAAATGCAAAATGGAAAAGAAGCAAATAAATATATATAAAAATGTTCATACACAGTTTGAGTAGCAAGATTGTGTTCAGTTTTAACTCTTTCTTCCATTTTGTATTTTTTAGGTAAGAATAAGAAGCACTTCATCCGGTACTTAGTGTCTTTCATTCCAACATAAGAAAACATTTCTGGAATCTGCATCTGAAATAGCATTTAGATGTATTTACACAGTTTATGTATCTCAGAGGGGACATGGATGCATTTACACTGCCCTTACAGATGCATAAATAGGCCTAATGTTTGGTTTTTAACATAAAACGTTGAATACTGATTCCCCCCAGTGAGCCTTCTCGCACAGACACTGTGCAAGATCAGGGAGGACGAGGAGCAGGTCCTGCTTGTGGTGCCCTACTGGCCCACTCGGACCTGGTTCCCGGAACTAATGCTCTTTGTGACAGCCCCTCCCTGGCATATTCCTCTGAGGAAGGATCTACTGACTCAGAGACGGGGCACCCTTTGGCACCTGCGTCCAGACCTCTGGAAACTTCACATCTGGTCCCTGGACGGGACGTGGAGATTCTAGATGGCCTACCCCAAGAGGTAGTAGACACCATCACTTCGGCAAGAGCACCGTCTACGAGACATGCTTCGGGAAGCATGATCTGGTCATCAGGTTCCTTAGGGGGGCGAGAAGGTTAAATCCTTCCCGGCCCCCCTCTATACCCTCTTGGAACCTGAGTCTAGTGCTCAAAGCACTACAGCAGGGCCCATTTCTTACTATTTCAGTGTTGAAAACAGTTGTGCTGCTTCATATTTTGTGAAAACTGAAATTTTTCAGGATTCTTTAATGAACTGAATGTTCAAAAGACCAGCATTTATTTGAAATACTGTATAAATATTTTGTAATATTATAAATGTCTTTATTGTCACATTTAATCGGTTTAATGCATCCTTGCTGAATAAACATATTAATCTTTTTAAAAAGTCACATTAATCTTATTAATATTAATAAAAAAAATCTTATTGACCCCAAACTTTTGACCAGTAGTGAATGTTAAAAATCACATGAACCACATTGCATGTTTCCATGATTAATCTTCACATATGAAAGTGTCTCAGATGGAAGATGAAAACATGATTTTTCATAAAAAAACAGATCTGGGCCAAAAATCACGCAATTGCGGTGTGAACGTAGCCGAGCTGAACCTGAAGCAGAATGTAAGCCAGGAGAGAGTGAGAACGAAGCACCATGGAATATCTGCGGCACCATTGAATTTCTGCACCAACAGTAGAAACACATGCAGGGGCTAAAAATGACACAGCCCTGATACCCGACTGAACACACACAAACACGAAATACAGTAAGAGTGGTGGTATCTGGACTGAAAACGGCAAGATCTGGCAGAATCGGATGCAAGTAATTCCATTTCAACATGCGGAAGGTCGGTGTGTGTTGTTGGCAGAATATTGCATCAGAGACGACAGCAAACAACATGATCTTATAAAGAAAATAAATTTTTCTCACAAAGGAGTAGTTCACCCAAAAATTAAACCAATGTCATCTGTTATTCACCTCATCAAAGTGACCAAAGACCAAGTTGTGTTCGTCAATTTCAATGAAACCACCATCAACAGAGCTGTTGTGTTTTGTTTAAGTTTGGAAGGCTGATTTGCGGATCACGCTCTTGAAGGGTTGCCACTTCCACTTATTATAAGCAATGCTTATTAATCGTCTTTGGGCTTGTGTTTACTCATACAGCAGGTGCATGTCACGATATTTTGGTATGTGATATCTTTACAAGATAAAGCATTTGCTTTTAAGCTCATTACAGGCTTGTTATTTGCTGTTTTTCTAGCAAGATCTGGCAACACTGAGTCAAAACGTACCTCGTTCACTGTGATTTCTTGCATCGCACATACAGAAAAGACAACTCTGATATATGCTTAAATGCTTCATGAACAACTAGTTGTTGAGTTTGGTTGCGTACCAGTGTTGCCAAGTCAGCGGTTTTCCCACAGAACTGGACTACTTTTATAATGTTTGCGTGGGTTGTTTTTTAGTCTGCGGGTTAAAGCGAACGCCATAATTCCTTGATGAAAGGAAGAAAAAAGTTTCGATTAGTAATTGGACTGGTTTTGTTCTCAGACCTGGCAACACAGTTCCATACACACCACTTACAATTTTTGTAAATGAGGTAATTTGGTTGTAAAATGCAGTTGTTGTAAGTGTGTACAGAACAGGATTAAGCACTAAAAAGTGAATTGACAACCAAATTTAGCTGCAGTGTGTATGTGGTTGGAATGACATGAGGGTGAGTAAATGAGGACAGAATTTTTTATTTTTGGGTGAACTGTCCCTTTAAGGTGTATGAGTGTGTAACACAGCTCTCAGCGTGCATGTGTGTGTGTGTGTGATAAGACACAGCTCTCTCATATGTGCCCTATAGGCTCCAGCAGAAAGGCATAATACGGGACTGTGTGCTGTGTTTGTATTGCTGAGAGAGAGAGAGAGCACCATAGTGGAGTTAGTTGTGAGTGAATAATTGCTGAAGTTTAGTAGTACCATAATAAGACCGCAACCTGTAAACAGTGTATTGTTGATTTTTCAAGCACATCTTCTCTCTCACAGGAAATATGTGTTTATGTGTGAAAATGATGTTTGTGTCGATGTTACACACACGTATACTAACCAGGCACCACATGACAAAGCGATAAGTGATAAATTGCATTTCTTCCATGTTAATCTGACACTTCGTCCTAACTAGATGTGATTTACCTGATTTCTATTCATGTAATAGTAGAAATAGCACTGTAGCACTGCTTAATCAATCTCATGAAAATATGCCCACAGTCAAATTTCATCCAAAGATAAAAAACAAAGAATTTTTTTTTTTTCTTAGCCCATTTTAGAACCTTACTTTTTTTTTTTTGCATTATGAAATATGACCTAGACATATTTTCTGTGAAATTCTTTATATATTAAACATCAAATATGACTTGAATCTTGAAAGTTTCCATATCATACCTGGTTAGTTCACGGCGTAACATAAGTTTTAGGGTTGGGGGATGGGATTCGCCTGCTTTGAGTATTCAAAGAGCGTCTGCTTCTGTTTCACACCTGTCATCCAGCGCTTTGTGCTCTATATTTTCACTTTCGGACAAACATACACTTGCAAACACACACACATTTTGTCTCTGTCAGTTGTGTGAGAGAGAAAGAGTTGTCACAGCTGGAACATGACAAAAAAAAATAAAACGACGGACAATAAAATACAAGAAAATCTAAAATCTGGACAAAAATCTCAGTAATGTTTTCAAATAAATATCTGAAATGTGACTGTCTAGCGGGTTGAATAGTAATATTAGGATAGCACCAGCCATTCAGAGGCCACAAGCAAAAATGAAGACCACAAGAAGGTGGAACTTATTGGATATGCAGGAAAGGAAGAGGAGGGATGTCATGACGCCATCATGATGTGTGGTGGGCGGAGCTTCAGTAACAGGCAAAGTATTCCTTTAGCGGAGCGAAGAGGTGGCGAATCACAGGCACGCTCCACGACCTTCCCAGAAGCCTTTGCCTGGCGAGACGACTCATGTTGGACACATCTGTGTAATGGACGGGGAAGCCAAAAACTCTGTAACACACACAGCAGTGGATTTTACACACAAGTACATACAGGTGAATATATAAATATATTTATATATATAAAGAGTTTGGTTCCAAAACGCGATAATGTGATATTTTTTTCAAATAAACAAAATTGAGTTTCTGCCAAAATCAGTATTGTATCTGGTCGGCATTGAAAAGTCCATTTTTAGTTTTACGCAAAATGCGATATCCGCCAAGTTATTCTGTCATGTTTTCTCCCTTTCTTTCCAAACCGCGACAAACGCCAGTCTCCCTTCTCTGCAGAATGCAATATATCTGCTCAACCAATCACAGTGCACCATTCCACGCACTCTAGACAGTAATGGCAGAGCTTTGAATACACCCGGCATTCTAGTTTTCCTCATCTACTTTGTAATCAACAAACAAACTTTGGGCTGCACGATAAATCGCATGTGATTGTCATGCGCATCTCGTCAGTATCTCGTGTTTTTGGTAATACAGCGTATAGCACTAGTCAACTAAATGAATGTAACATGGCAAAGATGAATGCACTTTTGGAAGCTGAATGTAAGGGAAATGTCATTTTGGAATTTCTGTGGTCTAATGTGATATTGTTGTTCATGTTCTTGTTCATGATGAAATTTTCTTTAATTTAATTTATAATTAATTAATTAATTTATAGCATTAACAAGATGACCCGTTGAATTCATTTTGGGAGCGATGACTGATTGAATGTATTTTTAGTCCAGTGCCTGTATATAACATTAGTTTTGACCAAGTTCAGAGGCTGTCAATATGTGGATTAACCATGTTGTGTATTTTCAACAGTTTCAATATGAAAAATAACTTTTATTGTTATGAAGGGAATGGGCCATTAGGGGGCAATACTAACTGTTCCTTTAAATATCGGCCACCTCACTTCCTCTCTGGAACAATAGTGAATGAGGATCAAAACTGGAAACTATTTAACCACTTCTTAATATCTGAATTGTTTTAGCAATTAAAAAGATTAAATGGAGACTTTTGCTTAAAGTCAACATAAAACTGCTTTCACAGCCCATTTTGCTTATGTAATGTGATGTAATTTCTTAAGTGATTATATTCAACAAAATGTAAATATCTTTATAGATTATACATTTTTATTCATTGGGAATTTATTGGATTGTAAAAAGTGACCGTTCCATACCAGAATGGAGCCCGACCTGGATGTGAGTTTGCAGTGGATTGTGAAGGACTTTGAAGAAGGTTTTTAACCAAAGTTCACCCTCAAGAGAATCTTAACGTATCCCCATGCACACAGTTACTTTTCACATTCAAATATTACTGGCTGTTTTTGCCATCACATTTTTTACTTTAAAGCTGCCATGAAATTGCTGCATTAACTATTGGCAAGATTTCAGAAAACTGCATTACTTTAATGCCTAAATTGCCGTTTGGCTGTTGGTTAACATTTATTGATAGCCTGAATGGCCATGTCATGTCAGCCATAAAGGAAAGTTGTTTCAGAGGTAGAACAAGTAATTTTGTTTAAATATTGGGCTATGAAGAGATTTTTTTAACATGCACTGATGGATCATGCAAAGTTTTATTTTTTGTAGATATTTAGCCAGAAGCAATGGTTTAAAGTTAAAAACGTTGTTATGAAGGAAATGGGCCATTAGGGGGCGATACTAACTGCTCCTTTAAATATCAGCCACCTCACTTCCTCTCTGAGCACATGGCAATGGTGGAAGCCATTTAAAGGAGAGTTGAGGCCTAGACAGCAGTGCTGGCAATGACTGGTTTATTTGTTATATGGACTATGTGCCTGCATCAAGTGTAAGTTGCCACTTTGTATTTCACATGAGGAGATATATTGTTTGTGCTAGATGAATTGTTTGTACAGATTGTTGGTTGAGGAATGGGCCATTAGGGGGCGATACTAACTGTTCCTTTAAATATCGGCCACCTCACTTCCTCTCTGAGCACATGGCAATGGTGGAAGCCATTTAAAGGAACAGTTAGTATCGCCCCCTAATGGCCCATTCCCTTCATAACATTTATATTGATTCAATGGATTTATTGCATTTTGAAAAAAAATAAAAAAAAATAAATAAAAAAACGTGTCATGGATTTATTGCATTTTGGGAAAAAAAAATGTCATTTATGTTGTTAATAAAATGTAATTTATTCATGTGATGGCTGAATTTTCAGCAGCTAACATTAATATAGACACACAGATAAGATTGATAGTGTAAGGAGTAGTGGTGTAACGGTACGAGTATCGGTACCGAACGGTTCATGGGGCAAATTCCAAATGGAAGTGATCATCCTATCCCCTTGGAGTGGGGACTTTGGAGTGAGCAGGGCACGTGCGTGCCATTATGTCGTCGTTTGGAATGCACTTGGCAAAGCGAGTGATGTAATTTCCTCATTATCTTCAGCTGGGATGTTCCCGTGACAACGCAGCATGGTGTCCGTCAGCGTACACCGGCATAAAAAATATACATTTAATATTTTAAAAAGTTTTATACATATTAGTTTTCATATATTATATAACATATTTTTAAAAACTTTTTAAAATATAAAATATATGCAGCCATATCACACTGTAGCCCAAGACTGGTTGCCCACTGAAGCTAAGCAGGGCTGAGCCTGGTCAGTACCTGGATGGGAGACCTCCTGGGAAAACTAGGTTGCTGCTGGAAGAGGTGTTAGTGAGGCCAGCAGGGGGTGCTCACCCTGTGGTCTGTGTGGGTCCTAACGCCCCAGTATAGTGACGGTGGGTCACTATAGGTCCTGACTCTCTGTGGTCATTAAAAATCCCAGGATGTCTTTCGAAAAGAGTAGACGTGTGACCTCGGCATCCTGGCCAAATTTGCCCATTGGCCTCTGATCATCATGGCCTCCTAACAATCCCCATATCTGCTGATTGGCTTCATCACTCTGTCTCCTCTCCACCAATAAGCTGGTGTGTGGTGGGTGTTCTGGCGCACTATGGCTGCCGTCGCATCATCCAGGTGGATGCTGCACACTGGTGGTGGATGAGGAGATACCCCCTGACAATGTAAAGCGCTTTGAGTGCCTAGAAAAGCGCTATATAAATGTAATGAATTATGTTTATTTGCAACAGTTAAGCTAACAACAATAAAGACATATGCCAGTAAAACAGCGACATCTGCTATATATATATATATATATATATGTATATAAAATTTAAAAATGTTAAACTTAACTGTTAACTTTTTTCATATCGTATGATTTACATTTTTTATTGTTAATAATTGTATTGATTTAATAATTTAATTTTATTTAATAATTAAATTGTTTAAAGATATTTTAGAATTCAAATTGTCTTTATGGTAATGAGAATTTGGGAGAAATATAAATAAGTTTCATGAAAATAATTTGTCATGCTGTAAAAATCTCCAAACAGAAATATGCTTTATTTTCTGCAAAATATACAGTTTTCCCTTTAGATTTTGGCATGAAATAATACCTAGAAGGCCCTCACCTCTCCATCTCCGTGCACCACAGGATATCCTCTTTATTGTTCATGTAGACGGGGTAGTGCTGGTCTTTGCCCTGTTTTATTGAGTTTGAGCGAGTTGTGATGGTTCGCACTTTTCCGAACTGAAAAAATAGAAATATAAATTCAGCTCTGCCTCAACAAGCCTCAAAACTCAAGACTCCATGTGAAATGAAATCTGGATATAGTCAACAATCTACAAAAAAAACATCAGGAATAATGACAACCTGTTCAAACTATCTTGGATTTTCATGTACAACAAAACCTTCAAAATGAACCCACACACCTTAGCTGTTCGTCCATATTCCAGACAGTCTTGCAGTTCGAGTCTATCATTCATCATGGCAGTCAGAGGACTGAGAGAGAGACAGAGAGAGTTTATCTTGTTTTTCTGATGTTCACTCTTCATGCCTGTTTCACATGTAACTCAAACAATAACATCTAATCTCACTCATACAGCAGATTTTCAAGCAGTCGTACCGGTTCATTCCAGGTAAGTTTCCCCAGAAATATCGAGCTCTGTGTGCAGCAGACACCTCCTTAGCATCGATCATTACTGGATTACACTGAACACAGACAGAACCGTTATATTAACCATTATATTGCAGAAAAAAGTCAAGTTTAGGCAAGATTTTGTCATGTTTTTGAAACAAGTCTCTTATGCTCATTAAGGCTGCATTTATTTAATAAAAAATACAGTAAATATTGCGAAATATGATTGCAATTTAAAATAACTGTTTTCTATTTGAATATATTTTAAAATGAGTTTTAATCCTGTAATTTAAAGCTGAATTTTCAGCATCATTACTCCAGTCTTCAGTGTCACATGATCTTTCAGAAATCATTCTAATATGCCGATTTGATGATCAAGAAACATCGATTATATATTTATTATTATTATCAATGTTAATAAACAGTTATAATATTTTAATATTTTTTGTGGAAACCGTGATACATTTTTTTCAGGATTCTTTGATGAAAAGAAAATGCAAAGGAACAGCATTTATTTGAAATAGAAATTTTTGTAACATTATAAATGTATTTACTGTCACCTTTGATCAATTCATGCATTGTTGCTGAATAAAAGTATTAATTTCTATGCTATATATTCTATATATATATATATGCAGTGTGCAGTGACTCTAAAATGTATTTAGACACTGCCTGAATGTCACTGCATTAGATAAAACTCTAAAAAATAATACTAACGTAAAAAAAAAAAACATTTTAAACGGACAAAATAAATATTATATTTTCATACAGTATAATAATTAAATATTTATTGTATTTTAAATAAATATAATAAAAAATCTAAGTGAATTGATGAAAACAACTAATTTAAAAAAACTTAATAAAATAAATATCAATATCAGTTAACCTCAAAGTCACTGCATTAGATACAATTCTAACCCAAGTGTCTTAAAGCTACAGAAAGCAAAACATTTCACCAAAAATTCCGGTTGTAAATGATAAAACAATAGATGTAGTGTTGAAAATGAAGTAAATGACTTCGTGTTTGTCAGATGTTAGTGGGATTCAGACATTTTTCAGTGTCCAAATACAGTTTGTGCGCAATATCTGTTATATGTACAACCACAAGTGGGCAGCGCTTATAACAGCATACATGATTCACTCTGTGCATGTGAGTGTGTGTTTGTCTCGAGTGTGCACACACCTCCAGAAAGCGTGAGATGTCTCTCTTGTCACTGATTCCCATGGCGACGACATTTTCAAACAGCCAGAAGAACGGTCGCTCATCTCCTTCTTTGGGTCGCGCTTCATGAAGCAGCCGGTAGAACTCAAAGAACAGACGCCCGGTGCCCTCTACACACAAGTAAAAGACTCATTATAACAAATGCATCAGTATGCACACATACTTTGTGGTTTTGCTGCTGGAGAGTGAGTGTCGTACCGAACAGGCCTTTCCTGGCAGGGTTGACGATGGACAGATCGTTACAGGGGCTTCCACCGATCACGAGATCAAACGGCCCCCACTCCTGAAGCTACAGGGAAACACGTGACGCAAACAGAGAGAGATGTCAGAAATGTGTTGAATATAAAAGACAAAGAGGGACAGAGAGAAAGACACATGCTCACATGCTTGCGTGTGATGTTCCTGACGTCTCCCACATACATGATATGTCCGTGGTGTCGCACGATCCCCACCGTGATGGAGTCCTCACACACCTCTGATGCCACATACCGCTCCACCTGAATGCCCAGATCCTTCAGCACCAGCAGCCCTGACAGCAAAACACACACACAGGCTTATTCACACTACCACATGAATTTGATCAAAGGGACAGTTCACAAAAAATAAAAGAAATTATGTGCAATACTGTTCCTTTTATTGTTAGTTTTTCAAAATGACATTTATTTTGGTAACACTTTGCTTAAAGCCTTTATTTATAATGCTTTATAAAAGTAGTTTTAATGCATTAATTATGCCTTGTAATTCCTTATAATGCATTGGACAATCTCATGAATTATAACACTAATCAACTCATTGTTACACTATGCCTTTTAAATTATGTTATAATTATTTACGACAAGATATATAATGTATTACAAGGCACATTATGAATAATTATAATGTCCCTTTAATAACTCTTTATTAATGCATTCTACATAAAGTGTTACCTTTTATTTTTTATTAATAGATTTTTATATATTTTCCATTTGTTGTTTTTATTTTAATGCTATTTTCAAATTTACTGTAAATTTCAGTTTTATTTGCACAGATGACTCCATCATCATGCAATTAAAAAAAAAAGAGTATTTATTTATTATTTATTTACTTATGTATATCAGCTAGTTGTTTCTTGTAGTCTTAGTTTTCATTTACTTGAATATTTAGTATATTTTAATTCAATTACATGTTTTTAAAACAATTGTTTTCATCAATTCCCTATCAATTCAATACCACTTTCACTGACACAGATTACTCCATAATCATGTGACTATGAAATAAATATTTATTTACTTACTTATTTGTCAGTTTTAGTTTTCTGTAGTTTTAGTTTTCATTTAATATCTTTTACTTCAATTTACTAACATGTAAAAAAACCTGTCAAATTATTTTCATTAAATCACTTTAAATTTCAGTTGTATTTACACAAACAACTGTATGTATTTATTTATTTATGTATGTATGTATGTATGTCAGTTAGTATTAGGTTCTTGTATTTTTAGTTTTTATTTACTATGATATCTGTTTCCTACTAACAAAAAATGTTTTTAAATTAATTGTTTTCATCAATTCACTTCTCAAATTTCAATTTTACTCACACAGACAACACCATGATCATGCGACTACAATGTGATTATATATTTATTTATTCATTTAAAAAAACTTAAACTTATTTTATTTCACCAAGGCAACATTTCTCACCTGTAGCGATGCCATCAAATAAAGAAAGCACTCTGATTGGCTGCCTCTTCTCTGCTGACATTGGTGAATACAACTTTGTTGGTTCCTGAGAGGAAAATAATGGACAGATTTTTCTTTTATACAGAGGTCATGAAATACATTTTTTAAATTATTTTATAACATTTCCCGAGTGGCATTTACAATTCTTAGTATGTTTTTAAATAAAAAAACAGTCATAATTTAGTTATAAATGGCCATTTCCATGCTGAATTTGGCCTCTGATTTGAACGCTCTGTTGAAAGGGGCGTGTCTGCTATGAGAGTCAATGGAAACGCCCAATGATGTGATTGGCTAACATCTTTGCATATTACATAAGCATTACACATGTGTAACGCTCTCGAAAACTTTTAATGTGTTTTTACTATAGCAGCCACCAAGAAGAACTAATTTTGAAAAGTAGTGTTCATTTTGTTAGCCTTTTTAAACATTTATTTAGTCTTAGTCTTTTTAATTAGTCTTAGTCCTGAAATTAAATCTTAGTCACATTTTCATCATGCTGTATAATGGTTAAACTGATAAAAAGTGTGCGCATGGTTGCCAGATTACAAAATTAAGCAAAACACCAAGCAGAAAATGTATCCTTTTAACAAAGAAGCTCTGGTTTGGGGATCTAGACACTTATCTGGCAACCGTACACATGAAAGCTTGTATTTTAGAGGCGTGTACAGCAGTCCGCAATAATATTTTGTCTCCATTTTTGACGAAAATAAAAACAGGTTTTGGTAAAGTTTTACATTTTTAAAATACATTTTAGTCTTATCTTTTATCGCCAATGATATTGCATGTTGATATAATCACAGTTATCATTTATTTACCTTATTGTTGCTTCGTCATCGTCTCATTTTAGTCATGGGAAAAAAGCTTGTCAACAAACATTTTTCATCATAGTTTTCTTTAACCAAATTAACACTGGTGAAAAGTGTTGATTATAGCATTATTGACCAGTGATTTCAGAAGGGTGGAAAATAATAATTCGTATTTTAAACTGGAGAGTTTTGAAATGTGTAAACATAAAGAACATCTTGATTCTCCATTTCCTTTAACTTTCATTTGTGCTATTAGTTAGTCTTTATGACTGCAGTAGAAAAATCTTGTCGAATTTGTGTCAAAACTGCTAAGACACACACTAGATCGACTCACAAAGTCCTGGTCGTGGTTGTTGGCGAAGAACAGCTGCAGTCGTGAGGTCCAGTCGTCTCTGCGCTTCAGGAGGCCCGAGTCGTTCCTGCTGCAGCACATGTAGCAGTTCCAGGGGTCTTCGCGGATAGCGGCCTGTGCGGATCCGGACCCCATGAGCAGATCGACACACTCCACACAGAAACACCTACACAAACACAGAGGTAAGGAATTTTCACACTGAACGTGAAAGTCAGTGCGATGACGCTATTGCGAAAAAGTGAGGATTTTTTTGTTCGTCCTGTGTGTCAATTTTTTTTCCCCGTCGCTCCGCGATGAAACAGGCCGTCCAATCAGATCTGAGCTTAGATCACGTGCCCAGAGCAGCTACTGTTGCACAAAAGGGTGAGAGTGGTGGCGCTGTTTCTAAAACCCCCTCTTGGAACCTGAGTCTAGTGCTCAAAGCACTACAGCAGGGCCCATTTCTTACTATTTCAGTGTTGAAAACAGTTGTGCTGCTTCATATTTTGTGAAAACTGAAATTTTTCAGGATTCTTTAATGAACTGAATGTTCAAAAGACCAGCATTTATTTGAAATACTGTATAAATATTTTGTAATATTATAAATGTCTTTATTGTCACATTTAATCGGTTTAATGCATCCTTGCTGAATAAACATATTAATCTTTTTAAAAAGTCACATTAATCTTATTAATATTAATAAAAAAAATCTTATTGACCCCAAACTTTTGACCAGTAGTGAATGTTAAAAATCACATGAACCACATTGCATGTTTCCATGATTAATCTTCACATATGAAAGTGTCTCAGATGGAAGATGAAAACATGATTTTTCATAAAAAAACAGATCTGGGCCAAAAATCACGCAATTGCGGTGTGAACGTAGCCGAGCTGAACCTGAAGCAGAATGTAAGCCAGGAGAGAGTGAGAACGAAGCACCATGGAATATCTGCGGCACCATTGAATTTCTGCACCAACAGTAGAAACACATGCAGGGGCTAAAAATGACACAGCCCTGATACCCGACTGAACACACACAAACACGAAATACAGTAAGAGTGGTGGTATCTGGACTGAAAACGGCAAGATCTGGCAGAATCGGATGCAAGTAATTCCATTTCAACATGCGGAAGGTCGGTGTGTGTTGTTGGCAGAATATTGCATCAGAGACGACAGCAAACAACATGATCTTATAAAGAAAATAAATTTTTCTCACAAAGGAGTAGTTCACCCAAAAATTAAACCAATGTCATCTGTTATTCACCTCATCAAAGTGACCAAAGACCAAGTTGTGTTCGTCAATTTCAATGAAACCACCATCAACAGAGCTGTTGTGTTTTGTTTAAGTTTGGAAGGCTGATTTGCGGATCACGCTCTTGAAGGGTTGCCACTTCCACTTATTATAAGCAATGCTTATTAATCGTCTTTGGGCTTGTGTTTACTCATACAGCAGGTGCATGTCACGATATTTTGGTATGTGATATCTTTACAAGATAAAGCATTTGCTTTTAAGCTCATTACAGGCTTGTTATTTGCTGTTTTTCTAGCAAGATCTGGCAACACTGAGTCAAAACGTACCTCGTTCACTGTGATTTCTTGCATCGCACATACAGAAAAGACAACTCTGATATATGCTTAAATGCTTCATGAACAACTAGTTGTTGAGTTTGGTTGCGTACCAGTGTTGCCAAGTCAGCGGTTTTCCCACAGAACTGGACTACTTTTATAATGTTTGCGTGGGTTGTTTTTTAGTCTGCGGGTTAAAGCGAACGCCATAATTCCTTGATGAAAGGAAGAAAAAAGTTTCGATTAGTAATTGGACTGGTTTTGTTCTCAGACCTGGCAACACAGTTCCATACACACCACTTACAATTTTTGTAAATGAGGTAATTTGGTTGTAAAATGCAGTTGTTGTAAGTGTGTACAGAACAGGATTAAGCACTAAAAAGTGAATTGACAACCAAATTTAGCTGCAGTGTGTATGTGGTTGGAATGACATGAGGGTGAGTAAATGAGGACAGAATTTTTTATTTTTGGGTGAACTGTCCCTTTAAGGTGTATGAGTGTGTAACACAGCTCTCAGCGTGCATGTGTGTGTGTGTGTGATAAGACACAGCTCTCTCATATGTGCCCTATAGGCTCCAGCAGAAAGGCATAATACGGGACTGTGTGCTGTGTTTGTATTGCTGAGAGAGAGAGAGAGCACCATAGTGGAGTTAGTTGTGAGTGAATAATTGCTGAAGTTTAGTAGTACCATAATAAGACCGCAACCTGTAAACAGTGTATTGTTGATTTTTCAAGCACATCTTCTCTCTCACAGGAAATATGTGTTTATGTGTGAAAATGATGTTTGTGTCGATGTTACACACACGTATACTAACCAGGCACCACATGACAAAGCGATAAGTGATAAATTGCATTTCTTCCATGTTAATCTGACACTTCGTCCTAACTAGATGTGATTTACCTGATTTCTATTCATGTAATAGTAGAAATAGCACTGTAGCACTGCTTAATCAATCTCATGAAAATATGCCCACAGTCAAATTTCATCCAAAGATAAAAAACAAAGAATTTTTTTTTTTTCTTAGCCCATTTTAGAACCTTACTTTTTTTTTTTTGCATTATGAAATATGACCTAGACATATTTTCTGTGAAATTCTTTATATATTAAACATCAAATATGACTTGAATCTTGAAAGTTTCCATATCATACCTGGTTAGTTCACGGCGTAACATAAGTTTTAGGGTTGGGGGATGGGATTCGCCTGCTTTGAGTATTCAAAGAGCGTCTGCTTCTGTTTCACACCTGTCATCCAGCGCTTTGTGCTCTATATTTTCACTTTCGGACAAACATACACTTGCAAACACACACACATTTTGTCTCTGTCAGTTGTGTGAGAGAGAAAGAGTTGTCACAGCTGGAACATGACAAAAAAAAATAAAACGACGGACAATAAAATACAAGAAAATCTAAAATCTGGACAAAAATCTCAGTAATGTTTTCAAATAAATATCTGAAATGTGACTGTCTAGCGGGTTGAATAGTAATATTAGGATAGCACCAGCCATTCAGAGGCCACAAGCAAAAATGAAGACCACAAGAAGGTGGAACTTATTGGATATGCAGGAAAGGAAGAGGAGGGATGTCATGACGCCATCATGATGTGTGGTGGGCGGAGCTTCAGTAACAGGCAAAGTATTCCTTTAGCGGAGCGAAGAGGTGGCGAATCACAGGAACGCTCCACGACCTTCCCAGAAGCCTTTGCCTGGCGAGACGACTCATGTTGGACACGTCTGTGTAATGGATGGGGAAGCCGAAAACTCTGTAACACACACAGCAGTGGATCTTACATATAAATACATACAGCTGAATCTCATGAATTCAAAAGAAAACAACAACAACAAAAAACGAATAAAATAAAGCCTATTTTCAGGACTATTAAATTTTTTGTTTTGCATTGTGACAGGTTTATGATTTTTAATTATATTATTATTATTATATATTAGATTATAATAGATTAAGCATGTTTTCTTTAAAAAAATCTGGGTTACATTTTTTATAACTATTATTATTAATTTTATTATTAAACTACTAATTATTTCAATATACTACTAAAATTTAATTTTATATTTCCCATTATGCTCAATGATAGTGTAATACAGTATTTTTTTTCTTTTACTGGATTATTGTAAAATGCACCTTTTATTATTATAAAGTCCAACAAATAAATGACAGTATCATGATACTAAAATTGCTTATAAAATTGTACACATTTAAATTATTTTTGCATGATTATTTGATGAATAGAAAGATCAACAAATATTAAAATATAAAATAAAAAAAAAATAAAAAAAAATTCATCTAGTAGGTTTTACTTTTTTTTTATTGCTAATCATTTTATTATTTAATTGTTTATAAATATTTTAGAATTCAAATTGTCTTTATGGCATTGAGAATTTGGGAGAAATGTGCATAAGTTTAATGAAAATAATTTGTCATGCTGTGAAAATCTCCAAACAGAAATATGCTTTATTTTCTGAAAAATATACTTTTTTCCCTTTTGAATTTGGCATGAAATAATACTAGAAGGCCCTCACCTCTCCATCTCCGTGCACCACAGGATATCCTCTTTATTGTTCATGTAGACAGGGAAGTGCTGGTCTTTGCCCTGTTTTATTGAGTTTGAGCGTGTTGTGATGGTTCGCACTTTATAGAACTGAAAAATTAAAATTCATGGGAAATGACGTCTGGATGTAGTCAACAACAACTTTCAAACAAAACATCAGGACAAGCTATCCTGAAAAATTCAAACTGATGAGACTTTCCATTCACAACAAAACCTCCAAAATGATGCCACACACCTTAGCTGTGCGTCCATGTTCCAGACAGTCTTGCAGCTGGAGTTTATCATTTGCCATGGCAGTCAGCGGTCTGAGAGAAAGACAGAGAGAGAGTTTGTTTCTGATGAGGTCAAATCTGATGTTCACTCTTCATGCCTGTTTCACATGTAACTCAAACGATAACATCTGATCTCACTCAAATAGCAGATTTTCCAGCAGTCGTACCGGTTCATTCCAGGTAAGTTTCCCCAGAAATATCGAGCTCTGTGTGCAGCAGACACCTCCTTAGCATCGATCATTACTGGATTACACTGAACACAGACAGAACCGTTATATTAACCATTATATTGCAGAAAAAAGTCAAGTTTAGGCAAGATTTTGTCATGTTTTTGAAACAAGTCTCTTATGCTCATTAAGGCTGCATTTATTTAATAAAAAATACAGTAAATATTGCGAAATATGATTGCAATTTAAAATAACTGTTTTCTATTTGAATATATTTTAAAATGAGTTTTAATCCTGTAATTTAAAGCTGAATTTTCAGCATCATTACTCCAGTCTTCAGTGTCACATGATCTTTCAGAAATCATTCTAATATGCCGATTTGATGATCAAGAAACATCGATTATATATTTATTATTATTATCAATGTTAATAAACAGTTATAATATTTTAATATTTTTTGTGGAAACCGTGATACATTTTTTTCAGGATTCTTTGATGAAAAGAAAATGCAAAGGAACAGCATTTATTTGAAATAGAAATTTTTGTAACATTATAAATGTATTTACTGTCACCTTTGATCAATTCATGCATTGTTGCTGAATAAAAGTATTAATTTCTATGCTATATATTCTATATATATATATATGCAGTGTGCAGTGACTCTAAAATGTATTTAGACACTGCCTGAATGTCACTGCATTAGATAAAACTCTAAAAAATAATACTAACGTAAAAAAAAAAAACATTTTAAACGGACAAAATAAATATTATATTTTCATACAGTATAATAATTAAATATTTATTGTATTTTAAATAAATATAATAAAAAATCTAAGTGAATTGATGAAAACAACTAATTTAAAAAAACTTAATAAAATAAATATCAATATCAGTTAACCTCAAAGTCACTGCATTAGATACAATTCTAACCCAAGTGTCTTAAAGCTACAGAAAGCAAAACATTTCACCAAAAATTCCGGTTGTAAATGATAAAACAATAGATGTAGTGTTGAAAATGAAGTAAATGACTTCGTGTTTGTCAGATGTTAGTGGGATTCAGACATTTTTCAGTGTCCAAATACAGTTTGTGCGCAATATCTGTTATATGTACAACCACAAGTGGGCAGCGCTTATAACAGCATACATGATTCACTCTGTGCATGTGAGTGTGTGTTTGTCTCGAGTGTGCACACACCTCCAGAAAGCGTGAGATGTCTCTCTTGTCACTGATTCCCATGGCGACGACATTTTCAAACAGCCAGAAGAACGGTCGCTCATCTCCTTCTTTGGGTCGCGCTTCATGAAGCAGCCGGTAGAACTCAAAGAACAGACGCCCGGTGCCCTCTACACACAAGTAAAAGACTCATTATAACAAATGCATCAGTATGCACACATACTTTGTGGTTTTGCTGCTGGAGAGTGAGTGTCGTACCGAACAGGCCTTTCCTGGCAGGGTTGACGATGGACAGATCGTTACAGGGGCTTCCACCGATCACGAGATCAAACGGCCCCCACTCCTGAAGCTACAGGGAAACACGTGACGCAAACAGAGAGAGATGTCAGAAATGTGTTGAATATAAAAGACAAAGAGGGACAGAGAGAAAGACACATGCTCACATGCTTGCGTGTGATGTTCCTGACGTCTCCCACATACATGATATGTCCGTGGTGTCGCACGATCCCCACCGTGATGGAGTCCTCACACACCTCTGATGCCACATACCGCTCCACCTGAATGCCCAGATCCTTCAGCACCAGCAGCCCTGACAGCAAAACACACACACAGGCTTATTCACACTACCACATGAATTTGATCAAAGGGACAGTTCACAAAAAATAAAAGAAATTATGTGCAATACTGTTCCTTTTATTGTTAGTTTTTCAAAATGACATTTATTTTGGTAACACTTTGCTTAAAGCCTTTATTTATAATGCTTTATAAAAGTAGTTTTAATGCATTAATTATGCCTTGTAATTCCTTATAATGCATTGGACAATCTCATGAATTATAACACTAATCAACTCATTGTTACACTATGCCTTTTAAATTATGTTATAATTATTTACGACAAGATATATAATGTATTACAAGGCACATTATGAATAATTATAATGTCCCTTTAATAACTCTTTATTAATGCATTCTACATAAAGTGTTACCTTTTATTTTTTATTAATAGATTTTTATATATTTTCCATTTGTTGTTTTTATTTTAATGCTATTTTCAAATTTACTGTAAATTTCAGTTTTATTTGCACAGATGACTCCATCATCATGCAATAAAAAAAAAAAGAGTATTTATTTATTATTTATTTACTTATGTATATCAGCTAGTTGTTTCTTGTAGTCTTAGTTTTCATTTACTTGAATATTTAGTATATTTTAATTCAATTACATGTTTTTAAAACAATTGTTTTCATCAATTCCCTATCAATTCAATACCACTTTCACTGACACAGATTACTCCATAATCATGTGACTATGAAATAAATATTTATTTACTTACTTATTTGTCAGTTTTAGTTTTCTGTAGTTTTAGTTTTCATTTAATATCTTTTACTTCAATTTACTAACATGTAAAAAAACCTGTCAAATTATTTTCATTAAATCACTTTAAATTTCAGTTGTATTTACACAAACAACTGTATGTATTTATTTATTTATGTATGTATGTATGTATGTCAGTTAGTATTAGGTTCTTGTATTTTTAGTTTTTATTTACTATGATATCTGTTTCCTACTAACAAAAAATGTTTTTAAATTAATTGTTTTCATCAATTCACTTCTCAAATTTCAATTTTACTCACACAGACAACACCATGATCATGCGACTACAATGTGATTATATATTTATTTATTCATTTAAAAAAACTTAAACTTATTTTATTTCACCAAGGCAACATTTCTCACCTGTAGCGATGCCATCAAATAAAGAAAGCACTCTGATTGGCTGCCTCTTCTCTGCTGACATTGGTGAATACAACTTTGTTGGTTCCTGAGAGGAAAATAATGGACAGATTTTTCTTTTATACAGAGGTCATGAAATACATTTTTTAAATTATTTTATAACATTTCCCGAGTGGCATTTACAATTCTTAGTATGTTTTTAAATAAAAAAACAGTCATAATTTAGTTATAAATGGCCATTTCCATGCTGAATTTGGCCTCTGATTTGAACGCTCTGTTGAAAGGGGCGTGTCTGCTATGAGAGTCAATGGAAACGCCCAATGATGTGATTGGCTAACATCTTTGCATATTACATAAGCATTACACATGTGTAACGCTCTCGAAAACTTTTAATGTGTTTTTACTATAGCAGCCACCAAGAAGAACTAATTTTGAAAAGTAGTGTTCATTTTGTTAGCCTTTTTAAACATTTATTTAGTCTTAGTCTTTTTAATTAGTCTTAGTCCTGAAATTAAATCTTAGTCACATTTTCATCATGCTGTATAATGGTTAAACTGATAAAAAGTGTGCGCATGGTTGCCAGATTACAAAATTAAGCAAAACACCAAGCAGAAAATGTATCCTTTTAACAAAGAAGCTCTGGTTTGGGGATCTAGACACTTATCTGGCAACCGTACACATGAAAGCTTGTATTTTAGAGGCGTGTACAGCAGTCCGCAATAATATTTTGTCTCCATTTTTGACGAAAATAAAAACAGGTTTTGGTAAAGTTTTACATTTTTAAAATACATTTTAGTCTTATCTTTTATCGCCAATGATATTGCATGTTGATATAATCACAGTTATCATTTATTTACCTTATTGTTGCTTCGTCATCGTCTCATTTTAGTCATGGGAAAAAAGCTTGTCAACAAACATTTTTCATCATAGTTTTCTTTAACCAAATTAACACTGGTGAAAAGTGTTGATTATAGCATTATTGACCAGTGATTTCAGAAGGGTGGAAAATAATAATTCGTATTTTAAACTGGAGAGTTTTGAAATGTGTAAACATAAAGAACATCTTGATTCTCCATTTCCTTTAACTTTCATTTGTGCTATTAGTTAGTCTTTATGACTGCAGTAGAAAAATCTTGTCGAATTTGTGTCAAAACTGCTAAGACACACACTAGATCGACTCACAAAGTCCTGGTCGTGGTTGTTGGCGAAGAACAGCTGCAGTCGTGAGGTCCAGTCGTCTCTGCGCTTCAGGAGGCCCGAGTCGTTCCTGCTGCAGCACATGTAGCAGTTCCAGGGGTCTTCGCGGATAGCGGCCTGTGCGGATCCGGACCCCATGAGCAGATCGACACACTCCACACAGAAACACCTACACAAACACAGAGGTAAGGAATTTTCACACTGAACGTGAAAGTCAGTGCGATGACGCTATTGCGAAAAAGTGAGGATTTTTTTGTTCGTCCTGTGTGTCAATTTTTTTTCCCCGTCGCTCCGCGATGAAACAGGCCGTCCAATCAGATCTGAGCTTAGATCACGTGCCCAGAGCAGCTACTGTTGCACAAAAGGGTGAGAGTGGTGGCGCTGTTTCTAAAACCAGTGTAAACAAACACCGAAGAAGTGTATTGCGAAAGACAGAAAAGAGTGGATGCCGAGTTCATGTTATCATTGGTATCTAAAAACAGATTTATTCTCCCATAATAAATTAATTTTCTACTGAATTATGTGATATGAAAAGCACTGTCCGTTTTCTTCCATGTGCGCAAGTGTTTTTAATCAGAGAGCGTTCACTCTAGTCAATCATATCTCTGCATATAAAAGAATTGAGAGAAACATTTTTTCTACAAATGAAAAATGAAAGCAAATAGACATATGATTATGACGATACATTTTCTGTATGTGTTTTTATGCAGCTCATGGTATTTTTATAACAATAAAGGTGACAAATGATAAGCAGGTGTAGTGTTTAATCTATTATATAACATAAAAAGAGAGCGTGTCAGCCTATTATAGAATTAAAATAAAGACAACAATGTGCACATATGTTCAAGTTTAGCTTGATGCTAATATTTTAAGATGTATTCTTGTAAGCATTATAGATAGTTTGTGTTTCTGGTGTAGAACCAAACCTTACCTTAATTTATTGCTGTATACTAAGCAGCGGACAATGTTAAAGGGGTCCTATTATGCTTTTTCACTTTTTCAAACACCCCAAAACAAAATCAAGATTTTGTAAAAGAGCATAATAGGACCCCTTTAAATCCATATAACGTTATGTGATATCTGAGGAAAAATGCATCGTTGGTAAGCGCCACCTAGCGTGCAGGCGTGAATTAGAAAAAGGCGATCAATTGTTTGATCTCTCTCAGATAGCGAACAAACCCACACACACTCACCTGCAGCAGTTGTTGTTCCCACACATGAGCACTTCTCGTCCTCCGCAGCAGATGGTGCAGTATGACTGATAACCGTCATCGTCGTACTGATACGCACACTCCAGGAAAGAGTTCTGTGGGGGAGGAGAACACCACCTCAGCACCAATCAGAAGTCAGAACAGGCTTGATTGACAGGTGTGTATGTGTACCTTGCAGCTCTGGCACATGGCTCCGATAAACAGAGGATGTTCTAGTGCTATGTTCAGACTTCCACAGGAAATACAAATATCTGCACACAAAACAACTCCATGGTGATGTTTGGAATAGCATGTGACTGTACTGTATTATTTATGCAGTATGCATACTGTGCACAGAATGCATGTTTTGACCTATGACCCTCTGACCTACCACGTTTGCCAAAATATGCAGTACGTAACAGAGCACACTGTGTGATATACAGTGATCCCTATGGGGCTTTTACCATTTTAATACAAAATTGTACATTTGAATATCTAATTAAATGAGTATGTACAATTTGAATGAGAATTTTATTAATTAAAATATCTAAAACTATTATTAGCATTTTAATAATTATAGTATTTTAATCATTATATTTCAATATATTTATTATATTTCAAAAGTTATGTATTTAAATATCTATCTATCCATCTATCTATTTACAGTATATATTTAATTATTATTATTTTAATATATGTATATATACGTGTGTGTGTGTAAATATATATTAAAATGCTAATTATATATTTAATAGAACAATTACATTTCTTATTCATATTAGACTTTAAATATTTAAATATATTTAATTTCCTAATTTTTACAGATTTGTTTTCTTTTTAACTTAAAAACTATTATTTTAGTTTTGATGACTGTTGTCAAATGTGTCTAAACTTTAAAAAATAAATAAATAAATAAATATGTATATACACACACACATATTGTTGTGTGTATATTAGAGCCCGACGATATATCGGTTCGCCGATTTTATCGGCCTGTCGCAGATATATCGGTATCGGCGAATATGCCGTCAATATGCCACCGATATTAATTTTTTTTTTACAGAACATAAAACGCAGATAATATGCTTGTAAATGGTGTAATTACGTAGTTTGTCCAGAGTGCGCTCCATTGTTTGCTACTGGCGACCTGGATGAAACGCTTTAAAGCTTAAGTGTATGGAATACCACTGAAACGTTGAACGGCCATATCTCCGTAACGGCGTTGCGGATCCGCACCAAATTCGGGTGATCCCTTCAGCTCGAGGAACCCTCTCGGATGCCAAATCGAGTGTACGTCTCGAGGCCCCCTTTCGAATGCGAACACCCCCGCCATCGATAGCCCCCGGGGTCCGGGAGTTACGGGCGGTTGAATTCGCGGTCAGGCGCCGACCGATCTGGCGATCCGGGGGGGGGCTACCGACGCACAGAGGGTGGCGTTCGAGAGGGCTCCTCTAGCTGAAGGGATCCCCCGAATTTGGTGGAGATCCGCCGCCGCGTTCGCGAGATAGTGACACCAGCCAACACTTTCACTTCAGTAAGGAGGTCTCTTGTTCAGGCAGCAGCATTCAAGCGTTGTCTTATTCGATCGTAAGTGCCCTGCAAAGTTGACTTCACATGATATTCAGCCATGATTTCAGTTCCAAGGGAACGTACACGTTACATTCAAAGGGCATTAAAGTGCGCGAGACGTGAATTTATATTGTATTTATTTACAGAGGTATATTATGGAACACTTCACACTTCTCTAGTAAGTTTCATCTGCGCGTGAAGACAGTAGCGCAAACCCGTGAATGAATATTCCGAAGTGAAATAAACTTTAATGGAATTGAATTGAAATAAATTTGAATAAACTTCAACTTTACTGTTCAGTGCACTGATGTCAGACTCA